TGTTATGTGAGACCCATCGGTAGTGAACACCCCAGACTATAGTTAGAAAAGACAACCTTATGCTAAACCCTCAAGCTATAGAAGGGAACTCACGCTGAACCCAGAAAAGAGAGCCCAACGTTTGAAGGTCGTGAAGCTGGAGGAATAGGGGGTGCAACGCGTGGTTGGGAGTTCGAGGAATTGTTGTTGACGGAAACATATGAGGGGTTACCTCTATTTGGGCCAATTGATGGACGAAAGGGTGCCGTCACTACCCTCTGTGCGCCACTATTGCCCTCCACTTCCTGTTTAGAAAATACTACATGTAAGTATTTGATTAGCATAGTTATAAAGTGAACAGGAGGATTCAACAGACTGATACAAGCCAATCATCAGTAATAGGTGGAGGAACAGGAGTTGTGATAGTGTGAGTCGTAACATCAGCTATGATATTGAGGGCCTCCTTCATGGTGTTATACATTGTCACCAAGTCCTGCTTTCTTCGCTTTTCTTCAGGCGACTCCTCCATCAGACGATTCTGCAAAGAAGAACAAGCAAAGTCAATCCAATCAATATTCAAAAATATACTTCGATAAAAATTTTGGCCTACATTCTATTGGGAAACAGTTTCTAATTCTGATGGTTCATCGACTACTGCTTTAATACACCATACTATACCTCACGAGTTGCACGATACCAATAACTACGCATGCCAAAATCCTAACGTAACACGAAATTTGATTCTCCCAGAAAAAAACTAGAACAAATCGTATGTCCCCAATTACCCCAAGTCATTAAGACACCAATCCCAACTCGACCTCAGAAGAGAGCTCCGGTCCATAGGACCTAACATCCTTAATTCACACCCCACCCCATCCCACCCACTAAACCTAATTTTAAATAAACCACTTCTATTGGATTACACAATTAAACATACTGCATCAAGTGCGTAAAGAGCAGGCAGCAAATCCGATTTCAGATACTTCTTCACCTAAAAACACAAAAACAAAGTTATAGAACCTGTTTGTGGAAAGAGTATTACAGGAGTACTCAATAACTGCGAGCTTTCACGCTTCACAACAGGCACGCTCACTCGGTGCGCTTTCAATTACAATGAAGGTGAACGATCAAAACACCGGACTATTAAAACACGCCTGCAGATAGAGATGGGGTAACTTACATCGTCTATTAAAAGATGCATGGTGATCTTTGGTACCAAATCAAGTTGGGTTTTGGTCACAATCTTCATGTAGGACTGCACCAAGTTGCGGATAGTCTCAACTTGTCGTTTAAGAATTGGGTTATTCTCCTGGTTCAGATCATCTTCAGCCTGGAATATGAAGGCAGATGCACAGATTAGGAGCATGATAGGGAGACAGGAGCCTAGGTAACCCTCCTTAATTCCTCAAAACTGAGAGAATATGGTTAATGGAACCTAGATCTCTACCGAATCACAGCAAGCCCAACTATTACGTTAAACTGAGTGAAGGCTAATTCTTACTCTAAAGTAAGGACGTATGGTGAGCTGAATAGTTTGTTGTGAGACGAAGGAAGTACGAAGAGGGCGAGAGGATACCAGTTTGACTAAAGGACAACATCCAATCTATCGCAACCCGTTTATATGCATTTTTCGAAAGGCTCACCTTTTCTTCTTCCATAACCTGTTCTGATTTCTCAGGAAAAACTCCGGCTCGTAATAGGGCTCCTTTCCAGTCGTCTCGGATACTAACGCTGTCTGCCGACAAATCGAGGCTTTTAAACTCCTTATAAACATTAGCTTTGGGATCTGAATGGAAGAGACTGAAAGATGGATGCCGCGTGAAGAAAGACGTGTCATTACATCGCTGTTTTAGACCCTCTAACGGCAGAACAAACTTCTTTTCACGCTCCTGAATGAGGGAAAATAGCGTAAGTGGAATTTCAGACAGAGTAGATTTTATGATCAGCTAAAGGACCAAAGTCCAAAAAATTGTAACAACAATTTGTATAAACTCAAATTGATATTGAAATGATGATATGGTGAATAGTAAGTGAAATCAAGTGATGCTTCCAAACTGTAAAGATTTCAAATAGTAAAAGAAGCTAAAACAACTTGGTTTCGTGAAAGATTTAATTCATTTAACTCCAATTCATTGAACGTCATTCTAAGTGAACCTCAACTTTATGCATTTTTTCCAAATAATAGGGACGAGTTCAGAAAAATGGCATTTCAACCACCACAAATTTAATATTTCTTTTGGGGTGTTAGTTAAGATTCTTCATAAATCTAAATAACAAATTATGATACATCAATGCACCATAGAATTATTTTAATACAATTCGAGTAACGAAGTTCTTTTAGTGGCTTTCCAACTTTGAATAAGAATTACCTGATAAGACATGTGACGAAGTGACTATAATCAACTCTTCGACATAACTTACTGGTCAATAAGCTCTGAATAAAAATTTCGATGTGATCAACGTAACAAAAAACAAACAACTTTTGGTTGGCCATGGCTCATATTAAACAGTGGAAAATGAACATTAATAAATGGAGCCATCAGTTTAGACAGATCAGAAAAGTAATAATAAATTCGAATAGGTCCTTATTCAAGTTGAGGGATTCTTATTTCGGCTATTTCGACATTATCCACTCGACTGCAACGGTGCCTATATGATGTATCCAGTGACGTAACCGTCAACCAAATGTCAACAACGATTGACTACGTTTATTACGGAAAAAGTGCACTCTAGTCTACATAAACAGCAGGCACAAAATCCATCGCACGCACTATCCCGAGCTTCCTCTCTACCCTCAATAGAAATTTTCAGCTAAAAATCTCTTCTCCATCCTGTGTGACAAGAATCATAAGAATATAAGTAGATGATAGTTCAGACTAACTAAGTAGCATAATACCTAGTTAGGTCATTACTTACTATTCTATCTATACTACTTATTAACTGAAAATGGTTGACATTGAGAGAGGGTCTTGCTTTCACAGTGTAAAAAATTGTGACTGCATGCAATAAATCACAAGAACTGTAATGAGCTAATAGAACTTAACGTGAACCGTTAAAAGTACTACAAAGTACGTGCAATTACGTGCAGATCATGCAAAAAAACACGATTAAGTAACAGTAATCTGAGTAGACGTAATGACTGAAACAGTTATTATGCATATCATAAATACACTACAAAGGGATAAAATATGGCAATAAATCCATCTACCGGCAGATCGAATCGACTATATAAGTTGGATAAAAAATGCTGAATAGATTTCGTACGAATCATAAACTAAAGTCTAGGGTAATATTACGGAGATTAGGACACAGGGGCATTCGGCAGAGCTTTTGTAAGAATTCGCTAGCGATCGAGTCAGTTTTAAATCACGTTCACTTTGTTGCTCAAGAAGCAGGACATCAATCATCATTCGTCATTCCCAGGTGGTAGCATGGACTTCCTGTCAATCGCTCTCCAACAGTCAATGTCTAATTAAAATTCATGCAACTGTAGACAGACATCGTGAGACATCAACACCACGTGTACGGATTCTTCCGACGATACATGTTCGAAATCTAACGATCAATCACGCGAACTCATAGGCCTTCATATATTTATATCCAAAGGCACCTTAGGGGCGTCCAATTATTATGCTCTCACTTGCGAAATGGTAAGGCCAAAGCAGACGCTTTCATTAAACATTAAAGTCTGCCAGAAAGACAAACAACACCGAATAAAGTACAAGCTCACTCCAAAAGTACTG